TAGTTTGATGTACAGATATGTTGGTCTTCCTATCAACTGGATACTACTGAACATTACAATACCTCCTGGACCTGAAGCCACACCCACTACAATTAATGAACGTGAAGGAGGATTAATAATGAAAATTATGACAATGGAAAATAAAGAAAAAGAAAGAAGTAATAACTTGTACTATATTGCAATTTTGTGCTAACAAGCAAATTTTAATGTACAGGGCATTCTTTTTTCAAGGGCTATATATTTTGCAAATTTTGCAGATGCTGCAGCAGGCATTTGAATGTACTAAGTAGGTGGATCAGTAGGTGTGGTATGTACCACACCTACTAATCAATGACATCATAACTTATTTAGTAATAAGATCTAATGTATAAATCATTAGACATTGAGCTATACACTCTACATGTAGGGTCCTGCATTTAATTAAAGTGATCTCAATAACAAACTACCGTACAGAAGGAAATTTTGGAGGGACTAAATTTTGGTGATTGGCGAATTTTAATTTGGCGAATTTGTGGCCACGTGCCATTGAGCATGCGCATAATGGCTCAAAATGGCGAATTTTTATTTTGGCGAATGGCTATCAAAACGCCAAATTCGCCAAATTTAACTACCTCCAAAATTTCCTTCCATACGGTAATTGATTAATAAGAATCTGATTCCATGGTGCAAACATTAGAGCAGTTGTTGTTTTTGTCAATAGAATGTTTGAATGCTAAAATTTTACATTTGTCCCACCTCTATTTTAAAGTAATTAAAAATGGTGTTTTTGGGACGGTAGAGTTGATGTTTTTTGGCTTTTTCCAAACTCTGCTGGTCCTCTGTCAAATCATGTACCTCAGAGAGCAATTGTGTCAGTTAAAGGGTGTGAGGGAGGTATGATTTGTGAAATTTACTTTCGCTAAAAAAGGAGTTTGAAATTTATAGCCCTTGAAAAAAGAGTGCCCTACAGTATGAGGAATTTAATTTGGTGTAAGTGTTGTAAGCTCTTATACGATACACTCATCAATGCTTTGTGGAATTAAATTGTGCATTTTTATAATAAACAGCAATAGCAAAATTAAAATAATTTCAGCAAATATATCTAGCTCTACAGTGTTTAATTAATCATTTATTATTCAATACAGAGATACAGGTACTAGTTGATAAGAGAATAACATTAGCTCAATTGAAGGAGGAGCTAGTTCCACTGATTGGTGTACCACCTACTGGTTTTAGACTGTATAGATTCAGTGGTAATGAAGAATATGAAATGGAGGAACTGGATGAGGTACTTGTATTAAAATCTGGATCAGAGGTACATGTGTGTGGGTTATTTTGATTAACTTCATAATTGTTTATAATACTAGTTGATAGTAAGACTGGGTAGAGCATTAAGAAGAGGAGAGAAAAGAATTAAATTATATTTGTTACAAGTTAACAATACAGAAGTATAACAATTTTAATTATCATTATTTGTTTTGATTTTTTGTTTCTATAGTTTTGTAATTTTATGATGGAGTCTATTTATGCTGAGAGTACACCAGTGAGAGAATTTAAGAAACAAATTATTGAAGAAGCAAAAGTACAAGGAATTGACTGTGTCTTTGAATTAGACAAGTATGCCATATATTTTGCGGGGATCAAATTTTGCAATTTTTGCATTTGCAAAAATTTGCAAAGTTAACATCCACAAAATAGCATGATGATTGTAGTAGGTGTCATAATTGCATTAAAATTTTAATTTGCAATTACAAAAATGCAGCCAAATTGCAAAATTTTACACCCACAAACTATATGGTGTACATCATGTGACTATCATGTGACTTATTGTGTAGAATGAGATTACGTGATAAGATAGTAATGTCCCCTGGTTCAATATATCTTGATTATCAGCAGATTCATGCTAGTATGGAACTATATGTGGAACCATTGAAAGGTCAGTATATCTGCTGTATGTGTTAGTATTAATGTGTATAGTGTATTATTGTAGTTGTTATTAATGTGGGTGGATACTCCTGAGTTCAGTCTTTGTCTTTATCATAGTTGTCCTTTTGTTATAAAAACTGTCGTTGATCTTTACTTTTGTAGCATATCTCAGTTATATTTTCAGTATATTGTACTGTACGTACTAGATGCATTTTTATAGTAAGCTTAATGTTAGCTAGTGTATTATTTTTAGGACCAGAGAAGGAGGATGGAGCACAGATACAGGTGTATGTTATAAGATGGCGTCCATCACAATGTTCAGTTGATCCAATAGAAGAAATTATACTGGATGATAGATATGACTTTAAGTATATTATTAAAAAGGTATTATTTATAATAAGGATAATGTGTCAGTATCACATTATTATTGTTTTCACAGCTTTTGGAGTTAAGTGGAGTTCCTGTTGAGTATATCTCTTTTTCACTGGAGGTTATAATCATTAAAACATTTTAGAGATACTCTCTCACTCTCTGACTCTATTAGGGAAGATCTTTTCCGGTTGAGATATCATGTCTTAATATTGAGAATAAGTTAAAATGGTATTCCATCACTTCAGACAGACCATACTCATTAGGACTATATGTTGATGGATATTGGGATGGAGATGTCATATATTATAAGTACTAATGAACACACACACATTATGTATACACACACTTACATACACCTCTTACTGTTTATAATTATTTAGAGACAATAGAGAGACAATGAAAGAGTTAACAGATAAAGAGAGATCAGAAATACAAGAGGCAGAGGAAGCAAGGTCAGTAAACCTCATGTTTCATCATGTACATGTACAATCAGTTACCTTAAGCCTACTATTTTTAGCGTCTACTAAATTTAGCTATATTAGCAAGAGAGCTTTAAACAGCTAAATTAAATAGACGCCAAAATAATTATTATTCATTATAATGGTTATTATTTATAGTTAATTTGGTTAAAAACGCTAAAATT